ACCCAAACGCCGCTCCTGTGAGAGAAAAAAGCCTAACCTAAACTACTAGCCGAAGCTGATCAGGCTCCGGGATCCCCTTCCCCCCCACCCCCACCCCCCCCCCCCACCGGACGCATGAGCGGCAGGCAGAGTGGAGGTGGATCCACAGGCTCACTGGCAAAAGTTTGGAGGGGATGATTGTCGTAGCCGCGCGCCGCAGTCACAAAAGGGAAATAGAAACCCTAACCTGGAGAGGATTGAAAATAGTGAAAATGTGAGTTAGCGCATTTAGTTATAATTGGCGCAGAAGGTGATGTTTGAGCAAAATTACTCTCCAACAGTAAGAACTGGGATGATGATAAGAGAATTGTCGGGATTGGTAACAACCGAGAAATGAGATACTTATAAGGAACAATTGGGAAATGAGATAGTTAAAAGGAACAATTAGATTTTCTCTAGATACCCTATTAAATATATTTTAAAAAAATTGAGATATTTACTATGATATCTACAGATATTAGAATATACAGGAACACATGCATATACACACAAATACATATGTATATATAATTATACAATTATCAAAAGTTAATTCAAAGAGTAGTTTGTCATAACAACATACATTTAAAATTTAAGAGATGCAGAAAATTTATAATACTATAAGTACTTAATTAATATATTTTTATGTGGTTAATTATACCAACTAACTAATAGAAAAATTATATGTGTTAAGGTTAGGTATAATGAAACAAAAGCTATAAAAATTTAATATAAAAAACTATTTTAATTTGTTTTCTATGCAAATTTTATATGCCGCGACACTTTAACCAAAAGAGGTAGTGGATACTGAGAGGGAGAACACATAGAGTAGAGAGCGTGGGTGATAGAGACGGGACGTGCATAAAAATGTAATTTCTTAACCTCGAATACGACGTGTACTAGAGCAGTTAAATACATATATTATGCTAAGTATTATAAATATCATATTATACTGGCTTCGAAAGCAAAAGCGTAATACGTGTAATAACAAAAATTATAAAATATTAACTCCACAAAATGAGTTTGAAAAATGAACCAAACTATGAATTTTGTATGAGTTTGTTGAATCTTAAATTCGATATCACTAATAGCATTTGACTAGTAAATGTTATAACTTCATAAAATGATATTGTTCACTATCAACTAGATGTGATAATTTTACGAAAAGATAAGAACGTGACCCCCTTTGTAATGTCTACAACTTGATCTAAAATAAGCAATTATTTCTTCTCATATCTCTCAAAAATATTGTGAGCGGCTTCCAGTAGTTATAAATCCTTTCAAATGATTCGAAGTGCTATCTTGGCACAAAATATGTACTTTCTGCCCTTCCCAGCAATTATAGACTTTGTGAGTTCGACCAATTTTTCAACAATGAAAACTTGGCGCTTGCTGCCATCGTCAAGCTTGGCGACAAATCAAAGAGTTCAAACACTTAGTTTATAAATGATAACACGCAACTGTACACCTTCTTCCCTATGAATTACACAATTTTTAAAACATAACTGATGGTTAGGCCTGACTATTCTTCAACATTAAATTAACAATTCACAAGAACTAAGGTTGATTGACTAACCCTTCCGGATCTGCACTCTCAGGCTCCATCACCGCAATACATTGTACTCCTCCTTGTGAAACCTGCCCAGTAGCTCTCGGCCACCCTTCCCCTTCCTCGGCTTTCCTGAGTGCTCTTTCCTAGGGAGGGAGAGAGGGGCGTAAGGGAGAGGGAGGGAGGAGAAAAGAGAAGAGTACATGATGGGAGGCATCAAGGGCGACGGGTGAGGTGGCGGTAGCGTAAGAACAGGTGGCGCTTTCAGGGGACATGTTTTTTGATAAAATGAGCAAGGCCTTTCTTGATCTATCAATTCCTAATCATCTCTATCCTTGTCATCCTCATCATACGGCTGAGTGTGCAACTTGAAAAATGAACATAGATTCATAACCTTGGTTAGCTTGGCTGAAAGTTTAGATTCTAATTGAGACTACCACTATATTTTTTATTTTTAGTTAATGCATGATAATGTGATCTACGGTCTCCTAACAGGCAAGGTCGTCAACGAGAAGGTCGATCCGACGGTGCAGCAGGTAGTCCAGAGCCAAGTTCGATACAAAGTTACTATCTGAAACCTGTTTACTACATATTGTTTCTGTGAACATACAGAGGCTCGCTGTCGACTCATCATAGTTCAGGGAGGCCCCTAACCTTTTCGAGATCGAGGTCGTCATCGACAAGCAGCTCGTGGCGAGGATCACCGAGGAAAATAACTGAAACGCTGTTGGTGACCTCTCTGAGTGCTTCCAGGATGGATGCGGGTCTGAAAATTAATTACACATTACCTCATTGCAAAAAAAAAACATTATCTCGGAAACTCAGAGTCTCCTAAAATCATGACCTCTCTGCTTAATTGGTCTGGAACAAACTGGCCACGTATCAATGCCTTCTGTAATGCGAACCTTCTGAATTTATGTTCGTTCTTTTATAATATGGAGCTCATTCATTTTATTTTCTTATCGTTCTATCATGTTGAATTTCTTGTGGAGCTTTGGTGTCGCTGTAAACATTTTCAATTTGTGTGCATTATTTTATAATCTGTAGCTCATTATTTATTTTTCTTTTCTTTGCTCATTCTGTTGTAATTAATCTGATTTTCTTTTGACCTTTTGGTCTTTGTCTGAATTCAGAAATGTTTGCAGACCTTAAAGCCTGTGCCTGTGTGTGCACCCTATGCCTGCGTTGTCGGAAAGGTAAACAGCGGCAGCTGTGCTGTCCTCGGCCGTTGGATGGAAGAACTGCGGCTCGAGTAACCAGCCGTCGCCGAACCACGCCAGGAGAGCCCTCGGATGCAGATCCGGCGGACTTCAGTAACGGAAACAGGCGCAGCTACAGTAAAAGTGTTGATTTCTTCAGGTCCGTCAGGTTAGGTCCCGACACACGGATTCATGCCCGCTGTGCAGAAACTTCTGTCTCCTATTAGGAAGGAGGCTCTTGCTGCTTTGCATGCCTTGGTTGCTGCTGCTGCAGCTGCTCTGAGGCTGACATATCTATAGAATGAAACCATAAATTTACAGAGCTTTTTTTGTCTTCTGTTCTTTTGCATTTTTGATCCATTTTCTCCTGGTGGATGTAATATAGTATGTACTACTACTAAAAAGACTAAAAGAAGAACACTGGACCTGCTTGCGCTTGGTTCTCCTGATGAACTCATCACTCATTGCGTAATTATGTGATATCACATACTCCCTCCGTCCCAAAATAAGTGTCTCAACTAGAGTTGAGACACTTATTTTGGGACGGAGGGAGTATATCACACTGCTATTGCACAATGTATATCTCTAGCTTAGATTGTACTGAAAAGAGAAACGATCAAAAGGCACATGCCCCGCTCCATTTTTCATTGAAATGAAACGCATAGTAACAGGCGGCACAAGGCTCCAGATAGATACATATTGCTGCTAAGGCAGCCAAAAAAAGGCATTGCAAAAACCATCAGAAACTGAACAAAAAAACAGGGCAGCCTAATTCTTCAGTAAACAATCTTCAACAGCCGCGACAGGGCTGTGGCCGAAGTTCTTTTCTTCACCAGCAGCGGGTTAACATTGGGGCTTCCAGACGTGCCATAGAACCTGTAAACCAGACCGCATGCATCGCCCAAACAAAAAAAATGTCATTTCTGTGTTTCCACCATTGCAGCAGCAACCATGTTGATCACAACATTTCTCCTGTTGCTGATATTTAAAAAATCAGCACCTATGTCTCTTTGCACAATCTGGGATAATCCCCTCCATAAAATCTGGTGCAGAGTACGAGGGAAGATCAATGGCATCATAAATAGCACTTCTGAAATATGTGATAAATGGAATATTGACTGCAAATGGTGGCACTCTGTTTATACAGGCCCATAGATAAAACTGGGAAACCACGACATAATTTCCACAAAAAACTGTCAGTCTCCAGGGAAGAATACCGCCATGCTTGTTGGAAAGGAAATACAATGACATGACCGTAGGTAAAAAGAGGTGGGAAAATACAAGTTAATAAGTTGCCTCTTCTGGGTATACCCCTCAAAGGAAATGCTGCAAGGCAAAAAAAACTAACAGTTGAAAAGAAATACAATGAGAGCCCATAGGTAAACACAAGTGGTAACAACAAGTAGTAATTATTCAAGCATGATCTCTTTCTGGGGATAAAACAGTAGTGTTCAAACCACTTTCTGATTACTGATCTTTTCTTTTGGTCTTTTGGCAAGGAAAAAATCATTCTGATTGCTGATCTTGCAACTCAGCATGGCAGCAACATTCCTGTGGGCGTATGATCTCGGCAACCACAATCACTGCTCGTGGTGGGTCTCTCAAGACAATGGTCCACAAGCAACCAGGCGATGCCCGTAAACCAGGCCACATGCATCGCCCAAAGAAAATGCCATTCCTGTGCTCCACATCATTGCAGCAGCAACCATGTTAATCACGATATTTTTACTGTTGCTAGTCCACAAGCAAGCTACATTCTCAAGATCATCACCTATGTTTCTTTGCACAATAAGGGATAACTCCATCCATACAGTCTAACTGACATATAAGTCCATAAAAAATTTGGGAAACTGTGACAGAATTTTGACAAAAAACCGAAAGTGCCCAGGGCAGGGTGTCGCCGTGCCTCTTGCAAAACAGGGGTGGCAAAATACAAGTACTTACTATTCAAACAACATCTATTTCTGGTAACAGAATGATAGCCAATAGTATTATAGGAGCACTTTCGGATTACTGGTCTCACTGTTCCGGTGGGCGTCTTTTGCACGGCAATACTTCTACTCCAAGTGATCTCTGTTTCCCATCTGCTTGTGCTGGGTGGATTCTGCAAAGAAAAATCACATCTTACAACCGCGCCAGCATATTCTTGCAAAAAGAAGAACGATTAAAGGGTTCCAGCAGTGCAGGCATGTTTATGGATCACCAACCTGCATGACAACTTCCGTACTGGCATTCTAATCTCTACGGATGGCATATGCCCATGTCTTCGGTTTCAAAAGGATAGGGATGGGCCTTGATGAATCTGCAAAGAATAATAATGTAAAAACTTACACTCAGAGAAACATCAACAAATTAAGAAATGATAAATATAGGTTAAAGGAACATTTAATTTGACTCCAATTTTCTGCCGTACTACTAGCGATGCTATTATCATTTTCTAACTAGCAAATTTAATACTCGCTAGTAAAGTAGTAAGGAGTAATAGAAAGGTGATTGCTGCGTGCTTACCTTCATAATAATGGGCATCTATGTTTTTCTTCTCGATGTTGTCCAGCCGTTTGTGCAGGCTTGCGGGGAGCGTCTTAATACCAGGGCAGGATCTAACTGTAAGGCGCTGGACGTATAAGTATGCCTGCGGCCCATCCGGTAGGGAAGCCAGGGAATTGCAACCCCGGAGTATGAGGCGCTCCAACGATGAGAGCTCTCCTGAGCGAGATTCCAGAGATGTCAACCCACCGCAGTTAACAATGTTTAGAACCTTGAGCGGCGAGGGAAGATGGAGGGCCCCTTTTAAGCTATGACACTCATCTATTTTTAGTTTTTCTAAGTTCTGCGCGCAATCTCCGGGTGATGATGATGATGACACCTCTGCTATACTAGATGACCCTTGATGAATCGGTGATGCTGACTGTCCCTGCTGCAGCCTCCTGCCGGAAATAGACTCAAGCTTCTTGCAATACATAATTTCCATTACCGTGAGGGATGCAGGGACATTGAAGACCTCGACCAAACTTCCACAGTTCCGTAGCACTAGTACATCTAGACGTGGAAGGAGCTGACTTGTTTCTGATGATGTTGATGGCTTGGTAGAACCTTGTGCATATCCAGTCAGATTCTCGCATTGGTCAATCGTAAGCTTCCTCAAGGATACCAATCCTTCAAACTCTTTTTCTGGCCAGTGGAGGAGTGCATGGCACCTACAAAATGACAAATCTTGCAGGTGTACAAAACAGGAACACAGCTCTGTTACATCCAGCTGAAAGCTTTGTAACACCAAAACTGTCAGAGGAAAACCATGATCACTCCGTTTGTCCATGCCATCCACTAATTCCCTCAAACCATGCTCAGCAGCCGCTGAGTTTGTTTCTGTACTGTCCACAAGGCTATGCAGGTCCAGGTTGGTCAATGAAGTCATATGCCCGGCTACCCACTGGAACAACTGTACATCACGTCCTTCCATCTTTAATACACTGAGCTTTGGTGATTCAACTATAGTTGTCAACTCTGGACATCCCTCAATACGAGTGTTCTGGAGGTTAGGGAAGGTCGGCAGCCCTGGGAATGCCGTCAACTTTTCACAATGACTAATACACAACTTCTCAAGCTGAGGAAACATGATCACTTCTGCTTGCATTCCATTATCTATTTCCCACCATCTCTCAAAACAGACAAGCTCTTGCAACGTCAGCATCTTCAGATTTGCAAATGCAAAGGATGTATTAGTGTCACCACTAAAGAACCATTGCAGTTTGTTACAACCATAAAGATGGACCGCAACAATGTTTTGCAACATAGCTGTCCATGTTGGAAAGGTGGTGGCTCCATAGGCGTGTATCCTTATAGCATGCAACCCATCATGAGGTTTAAGTTGCTCGAGCAGTCTTGCATCATCCCGACTGCTACGTTCACCAACAATGTTATCCGATCCAAAGCTCCATTTTAATGTCAGTTCTGTTAGTTCCTTCTTCTTCACGAGGTTTGCATCTTTTGCAGCAGCTTCTTCCACGTTCTCCAGATGACATAGCTCCAGTTGACCACCAAGGTTCAAGCTCCCGAGCTCACCAACATTGCTGCAATTAGAGTTACTGCTTGCTACAAAACATGTAAGTGTCTGTAGGGCTGTTAGTTTTGAGAGGTCTCCAGGCATGCTCTCCAGCTTTGGACAACCATGAGTGTAAAGGTGACGGAGGGCAGTCATATACTTCATTTGTCTCGGAAGTCGACAAAGACATATGCAGCCAGAGAGGTTCAGCGTTTGCAGGTTGTATAGAATGCTCATATCTTCAGGAAGTGCTTTGATATATCTACTTCTTGAGAGATCTAGGTACCTCAGGTGATGTAAATGCTTTGGTTTCAGCGGAAATGAACCCCACAAACAGAGCTTTAATGCTCTCAAAGAGCTGTATTTTGATAGATGCTGCCATGATGAATTTTCCATACGACTATCACACAGAAGTGTTCGGATAGCTGGAGAGCTGTTATCCAGAGAGCTATTCAATTCTTTTTCTGGTTCCTTGCATGACAAAAATAAATGCTGAGTAGTGTCTCGAAGCCACTCACTCTGACTTGGTTCCGTAGTTGTAACAACAGCATCATTTTTGCAAGGTTTCTCAGTTGCCAAGGCACATTCATTATTCATTACAGAAAGTGCAACATCATGCATAAGATCATGAATTTTGCATGTAGTTCTGGAATAACATGCCCCGTCATGTTCAATTTCACTGGACGAGTCAATCTGTTTCATGGACTTGTTTCTCAATTTCATGGACTTGTTTCTCAATTTCTCAATTTCATGGACTTGTTTCACATCCTGAAAGAATGACCTTGAGACCAGCTCATCAAAAATCTGTTTGCCAATGGTTTCAAGACAAACTTGCTTTTCCTGGATAATAAAGCCATGTGCGATCCACAGTCGGATCAGCTTGTCCACATCAATCAGGTAACCTTTGGGAAACATGGCACAAAAAGCAAAGCATTGCTTCATATGAGGCGGCAAGTCATTGTAACTGAGCTTGAGTATTGGTAAGATACCAGTCTCCTCAGTGCAAATGATGTTTCTGCTTAGTACATCCTTCCATTCTTCCTCGCTGGTCTTGGTATGCAGTACTGTGCCCAGTGCTGTTGCGGCTAAAGGAGAGCCAACACATCTCTTCACAAACTCACCAACCATATTCACCAACCCGGCGGGCCTTTCCTCTTCATTCTGAAAACGGCTGAATGCACTTGTCTCGATAATTTCCTTTATGAATTCATCCTCCACAGCTGTGAGATTATAAGCTTCAACGGTACCCATTGTTTTAGCCACTCCTCCATCACGAGTTGTTGTCAAGACCGCACTACCCCTGCCACCATGTTGTAGGCAGGCCTTGAGCTTTTCCCATATATCATCCTTTCGTTCCCAAACATCATCCAGTACAAGGAGGTATCTCTGCCCACTCACTAATTTCTGCAGGTTGTTCTTGGAAGTAGCTGCTGCTTCTGTACCATCCTTCTTCTTCTTCCTAGAACGTGCTCTTGTACTATCATTATTCTTCCCATGAGTTGCTTTTGTACTATCATTATTCTTCCCGGAAGCTTCTTCTGTACCATCATTCTTGTTCTTGGGAGCTGCTTTAACTATACTGTCAGCCAGAGCATCAACTTCGTTACCATCATTCTTCTTCTTCTTCTTCTTCTTCTTCTTCTTCTTGGGAGCTGCTTTAACTATACTTTGAGCCAGAGTATCCACATCAAAGCAGTCAGAGGCACACACCCATAGAGTCAAATTGAAATGTTTCTTAATTGCAGGTTCATTGTAAACTAGTTGTGCTAACGTGGTCTTTCCCAGACCCCCCATTCCAACGATGGGAACAACTGTGAGATCTGCATTGTTAGCTTGACCTACTAGCATATCAACAAGTTTCTCCTTATGTTTGCCTCTCGACCTGCTGGTGATTTTCTTTGGATCAGACATAACATGATCCTTCTGCCGGAACTGACTGGACACCAACGGTTGCTGTTGATACTTAAAGCCAAAGGCATTCATCTCAGTCACAAGGACATCAATGGCCCGCACAATCTTGCGGAGCTTTCTTCCCATCCTGTTACGGAATATGAAACGGTTGTGGGTGGGAAAGAGTTTTACCACACCGAAGCCAAGCTCCTTGTAGTGTCCTTCCTTTTTGGCCTTGCGACGAAGCGCCTCATACTTGAACTCGTCGAAGACTTCATTCGCCTGGTAAGTCACCTTCTTGATGGCCTGGAGCCAGGCTGCTGCCCCTTCCCTGTGGGCAGCCACCTGCTCGGCGTCGGCGATGACGTCGAGGATGGCGGGCAGCCTGCGCTTGAGGATCTCATGCTGCTCCTCCATGCCCTTCATCACCTTGTACTTCTCAAGGATGTAGTTGGACGCCTTCTCCATCACGACTGTGACCAGTGGTTGGACAAGGACGTTGACCACCACCGACCCCGCCATTGGAACACGGCGTAATAACAGAGAAGCACAAGCTGGAGAGGACAATAATGGTGTGGTGTGAGCAAAAATCTGCTTGCTTGCTTGTGAGTAGCATGGAAGGAAACAATGCCGGGTATATGTTGGAGCAAACAAAGGCCCTTAACCTGTGCCGTCAGCACTGTTCATCTTCTGAAGACAAGTACAGATAACAAGAAGAGGTGGAGAACAAAGTGATGGTCTGAGCAAGATGGTGGGGCTTCTCGGCGAATCCGATGACCAAGTGTTCTTCCCCAAATATGCCTGTCGACTCTGGCTCCATTAGAGCTTTGCAATGGTGGAGAGCACAATCATGGCCCGAGCAGCTTTCAAATTGGACGGATCTAGCAGCTTTCACATAGAAAGAATCTATCAGCTTTGTGTCAAACGCTCTGATGTGTGAGCAGGATGTGCTTGATTGATCGGGAGGAAAATGGAAGCAAAAAAACGCTTACTGCTCATGTGGATCTGGATGCTCGCTTACTCCCTCCGCTCCCGGCACCTCCTCCTCGTGGCGCTCCGCCGCCAGCCTCGAAAAGTAGCAGTTTGGTCGCTCGATCCTCCACCCCGACGGGCGACGGCCGCCGGGATGCGACGAGAGAACGCTTCAGCGATGTACGGCGCAGGAGGACGAGGATGGTCCGGTGCTCGCTTGAAGCAAGGAAACACGTCGCAGGCGGCGGCTGCGGATTCCGGCCGGCGTCCCGTGGGATTGAGGGATCGACCATTGTAGACGAGGAGGAGGCAATGTCTTTTTTTTTTCCTTCTTCTCTCAAGGGGAACGACAAGGAAGAATTGTCCAGGCCACTAGGCCCAGGTCCATCACCCCTTTTTTTTCTGAACGCTAGGTCTCCCCTTTGTAATCTCATCTAAAAATAAGATTATCTCAATAAAAATCTAAAAAATAAGATCTCCCTCGAAAAAATCTAAAAAATAAGAAAATCTAAAAAATAAGAGATCACTAATGAAATACTCCCTCCATCCCAAATTATTTGTCACATAAATGGATGTCTCTAGAACTGGATGTATCTAAAACTAAAGATAGAAATACATCTAGATACATCCATTTCTATGACAAGTAATTACAATACTAATAATATAGAAATCAGTGAAAATCCGAGTTTAACACATTTAAAATCGGCGAAAAGGTGAGATGGTGAAGTGTACAGGTCTAGAAGAAAGCTACCGCGTAAACAAGATTGAGAAAAACATAATTTTAGAAAAGGTGATATCCAAGCAAAATAAACCTCCAAGGGCGAGATCTGAGATGACGATAAGAAAAGCATATGCTTACACCCACGGAATTGGTAACAATATAGAAATTTGATAGTGGGAAAAGAACAATTGACAAATGAAAAATTATCTCCAACAAAGAGAAAAACAGCTGGAAATGAAAACAAGCATGTACGTTTAAAACTAAGAAAATGGTTTCTTGAGTAGAAAATCCCCTCCAAGGGCATACATATATGCAATTTCTTACTTTTCAGGGAGCCTTGTCATATCGGACTATTATGGTTAATGGATCTGGTGGCTTTTTTGGCAAAAGGGAAGAATAAAATATGCCCCCATTGTCCAGATAGTGACACAAATCATACATTATACTCCCTCTGTAAACTAATATAAGAGCGTTTAGATCACTAAAGTAGTTATCTAAACACTCTTATATTAGTTTACGGAGGGAGTAATCAGCAGGGTGTACAACGGGTACAGCACAGCAGGGGACGGGACAAGTATTTTTAGAGCACTCATACAGGTGAGATCAGCTTTTTAAGCAGTATATACGCATAATACACAGTAGAGACAGTACACCAGAATGCAGCACAAAACATAAAATTCAGACCATGAGATGCAGGTTAACAGTACACAGTACATGCACTGTAGGATGCAACATTCAGAATATGCACAGTACAGTACAGGTTGACAGCAAAGGTGCAGGTTACCACCACACGTACACAGAATCACAAAAAACACCAGTATTACTCATTGATCAACAGCTTGGGAAAATGCCAACATGAAACAGCAGGTTTCAAAATGAACCGAGGCACGTAATGGACGGAAGTTTGGGTTCAGAATGATTGGAAGCCAAAGAGATGCTCTCTGGAACAGCAAAACCATCAATTTCTTCCAGACTAATGTCACCATTTTAGCTCTGGCACGATGATCAGCACAGGCCACAGGGTCTCAAAACTTAGAAACTGAATGCTTGATTATATTTGTCTGGAAGAGAAGCACAAGGAATAAGCGACCACATCACTTGAACTGAATATCATCAAAATAAAAATGCTAGAGAAATAATCTGATCAAAACTCAGGATTATGGCCATGTGGTAATTATAGAGCATTGAATTGAGAATTGAAAGAGGTAAGATCCAAAATACCTGACAGCCAGATGCAAGGTGAAAGTAAGTTTTGGGATGGATCAAGGAGTGCGAAAGAAGCAGCCAACTTTCGCGAATTTTGTCGTGACAGGAGACAGATTGCCATTGTCCAGAACTCGTTGGACGATGCATTGCAAAGTTTACGAAAATATCAAGACAGGCCTGCAAGAAAAATGACAAAGAAAAGCTCCAGTCTCTGGAACAGCAAAACTGTCAATTTCTCTAGCTCTGGCATGATGATCAGCACAGGATGCATGGTCTCACCTTGGAAACTGAATGATTGATAATATTTTTGTGGAAGAGAAGCACAAGGAATAAGCGACCACATCACTTGAATCGATACTGAACATCATCAAAATAAGGGGACATACTAGAAGAACAATCTGATCAAAAGTCTCTAGGCACTAGGATCTCACTCAGTAGAAACAAGCCAAAATTTCACCAACAAGCAAGCGTTGTCTATGAAGCGTAAATGAACATACACGAGCACTTATGGCAGCCCAACCAGGTAGCAAAAATTCACTTTAATCTACTCGCAGAAAGCGCGAGCATGGGAGATATCATCCCCTGGATCCCCTGCAGCGTGTGCTGTATCTTAATCTCCTCCACGACCATCCGCTTAAGGTTCCTGACGCACCCCCTCAGCTTCCCCCCATCATCACTTATGATATCCTCCGCGCGCATCTCCAGCACCTTGTTCGCCACCCCAAGCAACAGCCTTGCGTACCTCGGCAGGGTCGCGTTGCGATGCAGGAAGTCGAGGAGAAGCCCGAGCTCGGCCATGTCCAGATTACCGATGCAACTCACCAGCTTCCTCCTCGCGACCAGCTCCTCCATCACCGCCACGACACTCCTCGGATTGTTCTTGGCTAATGCTGAAACCAGAGCGTCCTTGTGCCTGAACTTCCTCAGCAGCTTGTCGTGCTCTGCGAACTTCACCTTCTTGGGCCTTGAGATCACGAAGTCGCCCTCCTTGGCCTTTTCATTCTGGCCGCGGAGGAAGTATCTGTAGTAGCTCGGCTTGAGCGCTTGCTTCTCTGGCTTGGGCATTGTCCAAGCGAACTCGCTGCTTACAACCTCCTCTTCCTCCTCCTCTGTTGCATTCTTCTTCCTTCTGCGCACAAATATGTCTCCCTTTGAAGACCCCGCAACAAGCACCGTCCCACACGGTGAGCAAGCCACGGACAGCAGTTCCTTGGGATACCGCATCGAGTGTGTCATCTTGAGCTCCCCATAATCAAAGCACTTGACATAACCATCACTCCCTGCGCTAAGCAGCCGAGTTTCCCCAGTGGCGCCCATCTTCCCAAGCGCGAGCGCGAAGATCGTCTTGACATGGCTCTCCACCGAGTGCACGAGCCGGCCACCACCAATCACATCCCAAATCTTCACCGTTGTGCCTCCGGCCGTGGCAAGCAGCCCGCCGGACGGCAGGAAGAGCACGCTCTCCACCGAGGCGCCATGGGAGAATGACAAAGCAGGGGCCTTCCCCGTGCGGGCGTCCCACAGCTTGACGCTCTGGTCGTAGGAGCCGGTGGCGAAGAGGCTGTGGTCGACGGGGGAGGGCGCGCCGGCGCGGATGTAGTCGCGGTGCGCGGCGGGGACGGTGAAGACGGGCGTCTCGGAGGGGACGTCCCAGTAGGCGAGCAGCGCGTCGTCGCCGGCGGTGAGGAGGTGGACCTTGTCGCCGCCGGCCTCCGGGTAGCGGACGACGCGGGCCTGGGCGGCGTGGGCGGAGAGGGTCCGGAGCGGGCCCGCGGTCGGCTTGTCGACGCGGAAGACGCGGACGACGCCCCGCCCGTCGCCGGCGGCGAGCAGCGCCCCGTCGCAGCGGAAGGAGGGCGAGAAGGCGGCGGCGTCCTTGCAGACGGTCACCTTGGGGCGCGGCGCGAGCGGGTCGCCGGCGAAGAGGTGCACGGCGGAGGACCAGGCGGCGGCGAGCGTGGGCCTGGCGTGCGCCGGGGAGAAAGCGAGGTGGGTGACCGAGAAGGCGGTGGAGCCCGTGTCGAGCGTGGAGGAGCGGAAGTTGCGCCAGTAGGCCGCCTCCGGCGAGAGGCGGTTGGCGTTGCCGTGGGACGGGAGGAGCGAGGTGTGCGGCGCCGCCGGGAAGAGCGGCTTCGAGGTGTCGGCGGCCATGGCGGCGGCGGGGTGGACGAGAGGAACCCTAGCAGCTGCTGCAGGTGAACGGGGGGATGGAGAGGAGGGTTTATGGGTTCGGTGATGGGCCGCGTGGGTAGGAAAAAAGGCTTTGCTGTGGCGCGCCGTCAAGAATCTCGGCCCTATAGAAGCCTTACCGTTTCTACCGAAATGACCCCTGAGCAAAATGAACAACGAAAATGCTTCATAGCAGATTTTTTTTAAAAGGACTTAACAAAGTACGTACAAAATATTATTTTAAATACGAATTTTCTAATTATTTGAAAATATTTTTGGCAAAAATATTGTGAAACTGTGCGTGGAATACTTTTTAAAATTTGTTGGTGTATGTTTAAAAGGTTGAGATCGAATGAAATATGTCTAAAATAATTCAAACGTCTGTGAGAAAACTATGAGTTGAAATGTGAGATTGTTTTTCAAACAATTGAAGATTGTGCTAAATGTTTTTGGAAGCTGATTTTTCTGTGGAATGTCTCTTAAAATGATTTAAATATGACTATAAGTAATTGAAAATAGCATGAATATTTATGACTTATATTTGTAATGTTTTGAAATATGTAGGAAATAGTTGAATTTGTGCTTCTGAAATTTTGGTAAAATTATTTCAAAAGTCTTATATATCACTGAAATTTCTGGAAAAAATTGAACCCAAAAAAAGATATTATATCAAAGCCTTTTTGAGATAATTATTTTGAATTTTCAAAATCTTTTAGCATTATTTTGGGTTTTTTCAATCAATATTTTAAATCATATTACTAGTTATTGTTTCTGGTATATGGATAGTGAAAGGCAAATTCATATATTGAATATGTTCTATTCACAATACCAAGTAGGCTATACATGTGGCGGCTACATATTATTGAGGGAACCTATAGAAAATGACTTCAGCCGAGCTAGACTATTTTGCTTCTCGTCTGTTTCCAAGTACTCGTCGTATAGAGGAAGCGCGAATAGATACAATAGTGACGCTCACCGCAAGTGGCGGAGGGCAATCTTTGGCTGGTTGGTTAATTATCCGCGGGCGATCTATGGACATGCACCTCCCAACTCTAGTCTCTTGATCAAGATTGCTACTAGGCTACTACTTGGATGCCAAGGAACAGAAGGACTGCAACGACGTGCTCCTTGGTAACATCGTGAGTTCTCTCCTTGTCGGTACTCGCTGGAACCGACACCGTTATCGACTGGTGGTAGACGAGCCAATGGCATTGTCGAACAGTGAGCAAGAACCCATCAATACTAGTAACCATTCACGTCACTGCCTCGTCCAGCGTCACCATCCCGAGGACCAATTTGTTTGCCAAGTAGCGGCTTCAGGTTTGAGTGATGCCCGAGACAAACAATGTATGTACAGTGACAAACAATGCTATGTACTGTAGTTGTACCTATACATGGCGAAGGGTCAGCCAGCCACGCCCCCAGGTCGAGGCCCTGGCTACCCGTTTCCTGACTCCGCCCCTACTTTTGCCATATTCCCATGTTAAACGACGAGCATAGAAGAACAACATTGATCCTGCGAAAAGCCCAGCTACACGTGCAAGAACGCCAACACCACCAACTATGGAGTTCCTAAAGTACTCATCTATCTCGAACGCCACCCAAGCAATGAGGCTCGTCATCTTGGAGTTCGGTGGTGACATGTCACCATTCTACGCCTCCTATGTCAAGGACCGAAGCAGCAAAAAGGAACAAAAAAAAATCTGATTTAATTGAAATTGTTGGCCCACAAGGGCACATCGCACTCACTTATTGGCCCTACATAGTAGTTCCCGCGGGTGAGCCCGAGCCAGAAGAGATGAAGAAGATGCATGGGCGTTCTATGTCGTCGGTGCTGTTGAAATCGACCGTGCGGGAGCTCCCCCATGGGCGACCGTTTCTATCAAGTTGTCTTTGCCACACTTTTCAAACTCATAATTTTTCTAGGGACTCTTCAAACTCTTTTTTTTAGCTCCTCTTCAAACTTATTTTTTAGGTTTCTTTTTATAGGGGGACTAATTTTTTTAGGTAATAATCTTCAAACTTGTACAAGATGACAAATCCCATAAGATGAAAAAAAAAACAGACATGGCATTCAGCCCAACCCATACCCATAGTTTGACAGAGATCCATACCGGGTCCCAAAAATACCCAAACGTTATCCTCCTGCTCCTCCAAGCTCTCCGCTTGACTCGTCGCCACGGACCCAACCCACCCGAGAGCATGGCAGCTGCGACGGCGGCGGCGCCGCCGCCGGCGGTCGCCACCGCGCTGTCCGCGCTCCTCCGCCGCGGC